AGCCTCCTCACTGGGCCGGATCACAGAAAGACAAAGTGTCGAGAGGTGGGGGCGCAGGGCAGGTGGTGGGGAGGACCAGACAGAGCTTGGAGAGGTGGATGGCTGTGTGGGAGAGGCTGGAGGGAAGGGCCAAGAAGGTGATAGGCAGGGCGTGGCAGGGTCCTGGGCAGTGGGCATGAACACCGACCAGGCCAGCAGGCACCCCTGGGCACTCAAGACCAGAGCCACCTGAGCTCCAGGTCCAAGGGGGATCAGAGAGCCAGCCCAGATTCCACGTAGACAGAGGGCCTCAGGATTGGAGCTGCCAGGAAACTCGGTCACTGGGTCCCACCCCAACTGACTATAAAGCTACAGACTGCTACCAGATCCACCTCATTCAGACTGGTGATCCTGGTAGATCCTGCTTATTCAGCACTCCTGGTGGTGAATCCTAAACTCATAGAGTCACAGTCCTGTTAGAGGTGCAAGGGTCCGTCAAGAGCAGCAAGGCCATCTCCTGTTATAGATGCAGACCACGAGGACAAGGATGGAGAGGGACTAGCCCAAGATGACACTGCCAGAGTGGCCACTCAGCTCTGTGCATCTTTCTTTGCCTCTTCCTGCCTTCTAGCCAGAGATGGAGCCTATGGTATGGTCCTCATAGTCAAGGATGGGGGCAGAGAGGTGGCTGCCCACCAGGACATAATTGTCTCCAAGAGGTAGTCTGAAGATGACGGTATCTTGAACTCTGGCTGCTCTGCCCAGGAAGGCTCTTTCCCCAGCCAGAGATGGTCCCCAAAATTATCAGTGACTGCAGTTGGGAAGCTTTCTGCAGAGCAAATAGCCCAAAGCTTGGAGGGGATTCCTGGCTCTGCCCAACTCACCACATGACCTTGAGCATGACTTTAAGCAGGAGGTCCTCTCCACCTTAGTGTGTCCAGTGAAGGGTTGGGCCCACCCAGCCTGGACAGTCAGATTCCACTCATGATCTGCTGCAGTCTCCTGTGGGGCCTCCCTTGTCTCTGTCTCAGCAAAAATCTTAGCTTTTGCCTCAGCACAGGAAGTAGGCCAGGCACAGGAAGCAAAGAGTGTCTGCAGATCCCCTCTGTCTGGGAGCAGCATTCTCGAGGCCCTAGCTTCGCTTTCTAGCATTGAAATTCCCAAAGAGGCAAAAAGCTGGGAAGGCCCTTCAGATGATCCCAGTGAGGGAATCTGAGACCAGAGAGGTTTGATAGATTGCTCAAGGTCACAGAGCAAATCACGTGCAGACTGGGAGTGGGCCTTGGGTCTCCTGACACCTACACGGGTATCGTATGCACTGACCACACTGTCCTCCAGAATAATGGGCACATGAGCCATCTTCGTGTGGACTGGGCACCTATTTACCTTGATGCCTCAGACCCCCACTTAGGTAGCCTACAATCTCTTCCCTTCTCTTGGACTCAGGTTCTTCTACACACAGGGAGATGGAGCGCACTCGCTGTCTCCACAAGCCCTTCTACCCCAATGCGGGGACTCCGCCAGGGCCCCAGGGCTCTCCAGCATGGCACCTCAGCCCTTTCCTCACAGAGGGTGGGGCTCCCAAGCCAGGAACCCCCACCAGGTCACGCCCCCCACCCAGCCTGTCCCACCCCAGACCCCAGGGCTGGGCTTCACTCGGAACTGCAGGCTCCGTCCCAGCTCCCCAGCTGGGATCTGGATTTTTCTTACCATAAAAGGAGAAGCGTGCCTCCCTTGGTCCCTGCTGCCAGCCCTGCTGGGGGAAGACTGGGCTATTTTTAGAAAACTGAAGGGTTTGCTCCTGAATTCAAGGTGGCACCCGCCCTCGCCTGCACTGCAGAGCCCCCTTCCCAGCCCCCTTGCCTGCCTCCCCTCTCTCTGTCCTTCCCCTCTCCCCCTCTGACTCTCACCCTCCGGTCTCGTCCCTTGTCCCCTCGCTGTCCCCTCCTGTCCCCCTTCTCCCCAGATCCCCTCAGAGCCGGCTCCCCTCCCCCACCCCTCCTTGAGCTCTTGTGCCTGCAGGTTGGAGAAAGTAACGCATCTGCACCGCCAGTCCCTTCCTCAACACTATTTACAACATAAATTCCAAACATCCGCCATCTGGTTCTAGGAAGGGCCAAGAGATATTTAAGAAAGGAAGTCATGATGATTCCATCTTCAAAGCCAAAGGAACTGGAAAGCCCCCTCTCTCCCTCCTTCCTCCCAGGGCCCCTTTGTCAAGATCGAACCAATTACTGCCCCTCAGTGAGTAAGGGGTCAGTCTCAGCTGGGCCTCTGACCGACGCACCACATGTAGCCAGTCATGTCTCCTCTCCACCCCTCAGGTTTCTTGTCTGAACAGTGGGCCTGAGATAAGACCAGCACCAGTGCTCTGAGACTCTGACTCCTGCTGCAGAAAATCCATCCTGCCCAGGGCCCTGGGGCCTGCTTTGGGCTGAGTAGAGAGATGGGATGGGGCACAGGGAGTGAGAGCCAGCCAGGGGAGCTCCAGCCCCAACCCTTGATGCCTGCACCCCCCCAACACCCCAGTCTCTCTCACTCCATGGAGATCCATGCAGACCTCAACTTTCCTTCCCTCTGACACTCACACCACTGTGAGGCCCAGAGAGGGGAAGGTATTTGTTCATAATCACAAAGCATGTCTACAAGGAGACCTGGTGCAACACATTCCAGAAGAAACCGTTTGTATATCTAGAGAGAATTAGCCAGTCCCAGCAACCTGGGGCCCCAAGGTCCCAGTTCTCTGCAAAGTGGACAGGACAGAAGGGAGACGCAATGCCTTCACTGTCGTGTTTTTTGGACAGACAGCATACAAGGGAGAAATGGTGTGGGGAAAAAGCCTAACAACCGCCTAAATGAGTAGTCCCCCTGCTTCTGGAGACATGCGGCCCTCAACAGAGCTCACACAGGCACCTCTCAAACCAAACACGCTCTCTCTGTTCACAAGACCATTTCCATAGACTAACACACACCTGACAAAACACCGCGAGACACTTACTCAGGTCACCACTCTGTGAAATGGTTCCGTGAATGGTCTGGTCCTACCAGGGAGCTGTGAACATGCATGTTGGGCTGCCTGGAGCCAACCGTGATCCTGACACTAGCTGTGTGACCTTGAAGGAGACCCTCAGTTTCCTCATCTGTAAAATGGGAATAAGAATGAGGCCTAAATCCTAAGCAAATGTGAGGCTCAGTTGGGAAAATCCATGTAGAATAAAGCACTGAGCAAGTGTGGAGCCCATCGCAAGCACCCGGCGGATGAGCTCTAACACCCGTTGGCTGTGGTTAGGTTTACGGCATGGCCCATGTTAGCAGGGCAGGTGTAGCTGCTCTCACTGTCACTGCTGTCCCAGTTTTTGTCCTCACTGGGAGGTGAGAGTGATGGGGAGTCACGGGGTTCCTGGTCTCTACCCCACCCTCCCAGAGTCCAGCCCCTCCAGGCAGGGCTTGGCGTTCTAGGCCAGGCGGGCCTGTGCCCCTTCTTTTCCCTCTCTTCCCTTCTTCCTGCTTCCCTCTTGCTTCAGCCTCAGAATGCATTCCCAGGGCTCGCTCAAAAGTTCCCTGCAGCAGCCTTCCCTGGGGAGGAAGTGGGGAGCGTGTGAGGCTGGTGAACTCAGCTAGGGTGTCAAGGGGGTGAGAAGGCGCTCTGGGAAAACAGAAGCCACAGAAGCCCAGCTACAGAGAGGGCTGGAAAGGGGCCCCCCACAGTGGCTCCCAGCCCAGCTTCCACATCTTCCCTGGACCTTTGCCGTCTCCAGACTTTCATCCTTGTCCTTCCCTTCTCTTCCTCCCATGCCTGTGCCTGTGGACCCAGCCTCATGCTCAACATGGAAATTGAAGCCATTTATTGTGAACTTACTACATGCCAGCAACTGGGCTTATACTTAATATTTACCTCATTTGACCTTCACAGGCAAGCCTGCGAGGTCAGAAGCCAAGGTTTAGAGAGGTGCTCCACCAGCTCTAGATCACAAAGCTGGAAAGTGCTAGGGGCAAGATTCAAATGCAGGTCTACCTGGCTCCAGGACCTGTGTATTCTCCATCCTCAAACAGATGGTGGAAATCCTAGGGCCCTGGCACTCAGGGACAGCCCAGGCTATAGTATGCACATGTGTGAGAGAACTAAGAAAGGGGAGCTCTGGACAACGCAGCCCCTCCAGAAAGAAACAGATGTGGGCATGGGTCCGTGTGCATGCATGGAGCCCCCACCTCAGTCTTCTCTCACTGCAGTGCCATCTGGCTCACAGACGTGGCCCATCCTGTCCCTCGTATTTCTTGGAAACAAGCAAGGCCAGGAGAGGGCACAGGGGCTTTGGCAATGACTGTGATGATGCGATATTTGTTCTGTGCTCATCCGCTGCCCAAGCTCAGGGGACAGCTGAATTGAGCATGAGCAGCTCTGGGTTCATGCGAGCTTCTGATGCTCACCAGCCAATAACCCTGGGTACACTGTAGAGATTCTTTGAAGCTCAGTAACTGAGGACATTATTCTTAACTCTGGCAGTGATTTTGAGCTTTCCTGTGTTCTAGGAAAGAGCATTATGCAGGCGGAAAGCCTTGTGCAGCTGGAAGCAGTGATAGGTGGCCCCAGGGCTGTCCCTTCATTCTAATCCTAGGTTTTGACCTACCCCTAAATGGCTCCTTTCCAATGTATAAGGCTGGAGGCAGGGGCCATTGACCAGAGGGACCTCTGGGAAATTTCCTTCTAGACCTGATGGGTCCGGAGTGTGCTGGGAAGGGAAGGTGGCCCCTCCTGCTCTTGGAGTATAGAGATGCTCAGAAGACCGCCCCTTGGAAAGCCAGGCAGGCAAAGCAGGATAATGTCTGCCTAGGGCCTGAGGAACATGACATGTTCTTTGAGGCCTGGAAAATCTCAGTAGGGTCAGCCTGAGCATCCCAGGGACCTAGCCACCCTCAATCCCTCAGAGCCTGGCAGGCCAATCAGGACACACAAAGGCCAGGGCTCTGGCCGCAGGATACCCCACCATCCTTCCGACAGGTGGTGTCTTTGTTTCTTTCAGGCAAGGGCACTGGCTGCAGGGAGTCATGCCTGCAGCCCTGACGCTGGAGGAGCAAGCACCCCAGCGGGGGACCTCCTGGTGACCAGAGGACGACAGGTCACAGGACCCCGGAAACAGAGCTGTGAGAGCCTCCCTGCCAGTCCCCATCCAGTGCCCACACCTGCTCCACACCCGCACCACACGCTGCTGGAAGCTCCTGCAGAAAACGTGGTCCCTTGGGACACATGCCCATCCCAACCCTCAGAATGACCAAGAAATCAGGCCTCAGAATGGGAGGAGTTGAAGAAAAACCCCTGATGATATGATGGGGTACAGGCAATTTGGGATTGTCAGGTCTGGATTGTAGATGAGAAGAAGTGGAGCCAAAGGCAGGGAAACCAACGAGGAGTCAAGTATCAGCCCCACCGCATGCTCTCTGCAAATGCGATGCGAAGCCTGCATGCTATGGAGAATGAAGGACCTGGGGGACATGTGGGGAAGGACAGAATCTCCCCTGGAAAGGAGTCAGCTGGTCAGACTCTAGAAACAGATGAGCTTGGGTTGTGTGAGCCTGGTCATAACAGAAACAGCTCACGGGGCTTTGAAAGAGCACACAAGTCTGGGCCTGGGTGCACAGAGCTTGGCTCATGGTGAAGCTCAGGGAGCCATAGCAGTCTTTTAATGTGTGTCACATTATTCCGACACTTGCCAATTTTTACTTCCCTACATGTGAAGCAGGCAGGGGGGGGGTGGCAGCTCCATTAAACAGATGGAGAGACTGAAGCCCAGGCAGGGGGAAAGAACTTATTCAGAACCGCACAGTCAGTTGCAGAGGGTACTTCTGGTGCCATATTTCACGAGGATGGAAAAAGTGGAGGGAGACTTGGAGGTGAGCAAAGGAAGCAGGGCTCCAGCAAGGAGCTGTCAATCCAGACATGTGACAAGGCCCAGTCCTAGCTTACATAAGGCAACATACCTGTTCACCTCTGCACACCCTGCACATGTGCTCAAATGTGTGCCCCAGCACCCAGCCCGCCCTTGCTGGCCAAAGAACCTTGGAGACTGGGTCTAAAAAATTGGATTAGGAGGGCTGCAAGCACTCCCCACCCACCCCTGCCTGGCTGGCTCCGACACTGAACAGGCCCGCAGACTGGCCAGCTGTGGTCTCTTGGCCACGCGGACAGTCAGTCCTCAGTCCCCTCCACCCGCCCCCAGGCCCCAGGAAGAGGGCCAGATCCGAGAGGATGCCACAATGATGGATACACTGGAGGAGGTTCCAGGGCTGGCTCCATAGCACACAGGATGTTCACGCTTGTGCAAGGCTCATTTTGGAGCGATTCCCAGCAATCCCTGCCCACACAGCCCCCGTCCTGCCCTCCCCTCTTGCAGCCTCTCCCACGGTCACTGCTGCCAGAGCCCAGAGCTCAGGGCCCAAGCAGAGCCACTGTCAACCCTCAGTCCCACAGCAGGGCTGAGTGGGGACTGGTCGACTTAGGAGACCACAGCCTGGGGAAGAGACACAGGCAGGCATGCAGAGGGAAGAAGGAGCCGGTACACAGAAAGGCGATGCTGTCGTAAAAGGTGGCACCTCAGTGCTTTCTCCCCCATTGTTTTGTTTAATCCTTAGGATGTACATGGGAGTTAGGAGATTGTGCCCATAGCACAGATGTGACTACTGAGTTTCATTTATTCAGTGATTCCACACCTCTCCTTTCCTGAGCCCCGAGTCTGTGCCAAGTCCTGTATGGGGTGCCAGGGACACCGAGATGAATGACTTACAGCCTCTGGCCCTGTTGTCTGACTGAGCAATCTCCTTTGGGCGGGGTCACTGGGCCCTGAGGCCTTGGTCTTCCAGGTGAGCAGGTCCGGCAGGCAGAATCCCTTCTCCACATGGCACATGTGAGTGGTTGAATAGCATCATCAAGGGGAGCCTCAGCAATGGGCCCATTCGGAGCACAGACCCTGGAGGTAGAGGTCCTGTCTTACTCCCTTTTCAGCTGAATAGCTGTGGCCCAGTTAGCCTCTCTGACCTGTTTTCCCTTCTGTGAAATGGGAATTCCAAAGGACCCACCTCCTGGGGCTAACTGAGGATTAATTCTTTCCATATCTTCATTTGACATGAGGAGGAAAAGGCTGACAGAGGGAAAGGGCTCGGCCAGGGTCACACCGTGAGCTGGGGTCAAGTCAGGACTGGAGGGACCCTCCTCCCCAGCCCTGTATCCCAGTATAAACCCTCCCTACCCACTCTACCCCAAGCACCCAGATGCCAGGCTGTACATGTGACTACGGGGACATGTCTTAGGGCCCACCTCCCCTGTCAGCCCTGCCCCAGCCTCTGCAGCACCAGAGTCCCAGGTGTGCGGCAGTGGCCCCAGGCCCTCAGCAGTGGTGGAGGGTGGGGGAGCGCAGGGCTGGTCTCCCTGCCCGGGCAGCCTGGCCATATAAGGGAAGGAGAGATAGGCCTGGCTCAGGTCTGGTGAGAAAACCCAGACAGCCACTGTTTATTTTCTCCTTCTCAGCCTCCCAGAGTTCGGAGCTTCCGGACAGGAGACAGAGGTTCCCCGCCTCAGCAACATTTCCTGAAGACAGTGGGGAGCAGGGAGGGGAACACAGCCGGCAGGCTGCCCAGGTAAGATTCTGAGGCCACCTGTTCAACTGCCTCCTTTGACAGAAGGGGAAATGGAGCTGCAGAGAGAAGCACCCATGAGAAGTGACTGTACCAGCTGGTGGTAGAGCCTAGGTCTCCCCAGTGGCCCCCATCTCCTGGACCCAGAGTAAGAAGGAGCCTCTCATGGGGTAAGTGTAAAAGGGCGGCTCCTGACTCCCTTCTCAGTGAGGCTGGGGTTGAAGGAGACGGGGGTCAGGGCCATGCTGTCTGCCAAGTACGCAGGACTCAGGGGAGGAGACCCCCGGCCAGAGAGCTGGGAGAATGCCCTCCCTGCCCCCTGCTCCTCCTCCAAGGAGCCCTGCAGCCTTCCCAGACTTGGGAACCTCTTTGTCCTTGGAGCTCTCTGCAGGCCCTTCTCTGGTCTCTCTCCTGCCCTGTCACCTTGCCAGGGGCATTTCCTTCCGTCTCAGCCTGACTGACTGCCCTCCTCCAGGGCAAGGACCATGTCAGGTTCAGTCCCTCCTCCCCTTGAAAAATAAGGGACACACTTGGGTTGCTGCAGGGACAGGTGAAATGGATAGACCCTGTCCCAAACCCAAAGCATTGGTAAATTGGTCAGGGGATAAGACATCCACGATAGAGGCTAAAAATGAGGGTGCTGGGCCGGCTATTTGGAGTCAGGAATCCTGGCTCAGCAACTAGCTCCGTACCCTTGGAAAATTCCCTTCCCACGGAGCCTTGGGGATGCATGGGGATCAGCACAATTAAAATATTCAGTAAATGACTGTTCTTATCACAGTCAGAATCACTATGAATTTTTCTAGATGCAAAGGAAGAAAACTATAGCTACAGAGGACATAGAGGCAAATATCCCCCCTGGTCAAAGGCTGCATTCAAGCCGTGTCCCTGTGGCAGAGATCCTCCCAGAGTAGCATGGGTCTGCCCCCCACCCCATCTATTTCCTGTTTCCACACCAAGGAGAGATGCTGTCTTTGCAGCAATATACCGAGTCCAGTGGAGTGTGCTGGAAATAGTCCTCGACTCCAGTGGTTCAAGCTGGGCCGGGACTCTGCAGCCACACCTCCCCTCCCTGGTCCGGCCTCACCAGCTGTTCTGAAGTTAAATGGACAGGGTGGGATCCCAACTGCAGTCACTCAGATGTCCTCTTTTCCATTTTTGCTGTATCTGCAAACAATTATAATATTTTAAAATTTAAGAATGGTCATTGTTAATACCTAAATATAAGTAGCTACTTTAATGGAAAACTATAAGGCTGTCCATAATGAGGAGATAAAGGTAAGAATAAATACAGCACAAATGAAATACTTTACCTTGGTACTTGCAGGGCTCTGGGCCTAAGTCCTGCGGGAGATAAGCAGAGGCTCGAAAAGTATCAGAGACAGGATAGCACCGAACTGAGGCTTCCTCCTCCCTGGTAAATAGAACACTGAAAGCAAACTGATGGGGAATAACTTGAGTCGTTCTGTGTTGCCAAGTTAGTGCAGAGGCCATGTGCAAAATCACTCCTTCCCTGTGCTTAGAAAACCAAAAGTGGTCAAGTGGAAGTGCTTTGGACCAAGTCTCATGCCAGGGAGTACAGGGGACTGGAGTTAGCAGCTTGGCTCCTGGTGGCAGAGGAGTGCCTTTCTGGGACAACTCTCCCTGGCTGCTTACAGAAACCTCCAGTTGGCCAGGCCAAGGGTTTTCTCCCGCAGGGTTGGTGGGAACCATCAGAGGATGGAGTAGACAGGCTGTGGACACCCCCAGGGTGGTGTCCCATGTTGGAATTGTTCCCAAGCCACATGCAGTTTGCAGAGTTCCTACAGGAGAATTCTGTATTAGAGGGAGGCAGTTCTCTGGCTGGGAGTACTCCAGGGAGGGACTGTCCCACTGAGCAGCCTTTGGACTGACCTGCCCCCAGGGGCAGAGCAAGGGAAAACACTGTTCAGACTGGGGCCTGATTTTAGAATTCTGCAAGAGGCACAGGACACACTATTTTTTTAAGGAACTATGTGTTTTTCCCACTCTTTCCCACCCCTGGGGAAAGACTGCCCACCCCACTTTGCCCCTCAGAGATCTCTGAAAGTGCAAGTCATCAGTATCAAGGCCACCCCATTGGGCATCGAGCAAAGTGAAAAGATCTCAGGGGGTGATCCTGAGATCCCAGCAGCGCAGCAGGAGTGGAGGGGGCTCCTCCTGCTCACTCAGAGGTTCCCACCCAAGCCAAGTCTTGAGAGAAAAATCCAACAGCTACACAGCCATTCAATCATCCACCAAATGGCATTTTCTGGGGCCCATCATCATACACAAAGGCCTCTGCAAGGGCCAGGGACTTCCTCAAATTAGCAAATTTGGGCAGTGTCCTCAGGCGACTGGAGATCTAGCCAGTCAGACCCACATAGAAATAGCTCTGACACTAGTGAGATTGAGGACTAAATCCAGTCATTCAATCAACACTTACTGGATGTCTACAGTGCTGGAAACTGCATTCAATGGTGAGTACACTTGCGAAGGGGCCCTTCCCTCACAGTCTACAAGTGGAGGTGGTCATACACAAAAACTACATCCCAAGTGCAGTAAAGGATTAGAAAGCGGGCAGGGGATGCATGAGGACATGGACCAGGGGTGTCCTGATGTCTGAGGAAGTCGGGGAGGGCTTCTCAGAAGAGGTGGCCATTTGAGCAGACAGTAAGCACACAAAAGGAGATGGTCAGAGGGCATGAGGAGGAGCAGCGTGGTACCTGGGGGCCCTGAGGTGGTAGGCCTGGGGCTTCCTGGAGGGATGGGAGTGGCCCGAAGGGAAGAGGCTAGCTGGGACTTTGATGAGGGTGTTAGAATTTAGTCAGAGGACAGTGGGGGCCCACTCAGGATTTTAAGCATAGGAAGGATATGACCATGTTTGCATTTTGAAAAATCACTCTGGGAGGATGTCTGGGAATGATGGGTGGGAAGAGGTGGGGAGTGGAAACAAGAAGACAAGGTAAGAGGTCAAGCAAATGTTTGATGTGATAATGTAAAATGTTAAGTACCATGAATGTACTTTTGGCTGGGCATACCAAGCATAAGGGTGGGGGTGTGGAGGCAACTTATTGGATGACTCCATTCATTACAACACCTAGACTCGGCAGCTCTACAGAGACAGGAGGTGGTCTGCCCGTGGTGGGCTAAGAGGGGTTAGATAGTAAGATTTCAGTGGTTGCACAGCTTTGTGAATGTATTAAAAACCATTTCCTCGCACAACTTTAGGTGGGTAATTAGATCTCAGTCAAGCTTTTATAAAGAGAAAAGGGAGGCTGTGGCTTGGTGCCGAAGGCTCCAATGCCAGGCTTAGGACAGCAGCACAGCCAGGAGAGTGCCAGCAGTCTTTCTCTGGTCCAAGAACTTGAGGGTGGGGTTGAGGCCCCTCCGATGCCCCTTCTCCTGCCCGGGGCGGACTCCCTGCCAATGGCCCCTGGCTGGGCCCAGCGCCCTGTCTCCCAGCCTGAGGTGCAGTGCTGCATCTCTGGTCAGTTGGGAGTCTGAGATGAAGCACTGTAGCTCAGGAAGGGAGAAGTTGCTCTGCAATGGCCAGCCTGGAAGCGGTAAGTGGCGGTGGTGTTTGGGGACACCAGGGAGGATGGGAGTGTTTTTGGTCTCTGTACTGTCAGCTGCTTGTGCTAAGGAAGTTCCTGGACTTAAGTCCTATCCAGGCCACTGTTTGCCTTGTGATTCTGGGCAAGTCCTGACTCCTCTATGCACTCCAGCTCATTCATCTGAAAAATGAAGTGTTGGGGCATTCAGTGGGGGCCATCACCCAGTATCCTGCCTCTGATTTCTCTTCCTGAGCCTACGGTGGGCACTGCTGATCAGCCAACGCATCTATTATTGAAGCATTCAGAATCCTTCTCGACACTAAGTCCTGGAGAGCTACTACTAATGATTCGGAGCTGAAACCCATTCATTGTTTGTGGATTACACAATTCCTAAAAATCGCTATGTCACTAAAGATGAGGTCCTAGACTTTGAATCAGGCTTTTCACTCTTTGAGCCCCTAACCTGGGCTCCAGGCTATTGCCTAAACCAATCCAGGCATCTCATAAATGTCTGACCTCTCTCAAAGGCTACAAACAAGCAGAGAACAACAGAGGAAAATCACTGGATTAAACAATTTTATTTAACCTCCCAACAAGCTTGGGAAGTGGGCAATGTTATGGACCTGTTTTACAGATGAGAAAACTGAGGCTCAGTAAAACAACTCCTCCAAGGTCTCACACTGACTATATTGAGCTAGGGTTGCAGCCTAACCTGTCTGCCTTCAGATCCATGTTCTTACCCACTGCGTGTGATTTCACAACCTGGAGGTGAGGGAGGAGGAGGCAAACAATAAATCCCACTCTGGTCTTGCCTTTACACCTTGGGTCACTTTTAGCAAAGACAGGCCCAGACACTCTCATCACTCCTACAGACCCCTTTCCTCCCCTCCCCCTGCAGTGGTATTTACCTCAGCTTATCGGTAGGTACCATACTATCCCATTTTACAGTTATTGAAAGCTGAGGTCAGATGGCTTGCCGGAGATCATCAGTGAGGAAGTTCCCAAACAGAGACTGGGAAGTGGATCTGCCCGGCTGGTTTCGCGTGAAGCCCTCCCTCTGCCTGGAGACTCAGGGACACACTCGACCCATGAAATCATGGGGGAGGCGGGGCTGGGATGCCACATGGCTCCTGATTGACAGCATGACGTTGACTAGAAGGTACTTTCCAGGACACTTGGGGTTCCAGTCACTCCTTATCCAGGAGCCATCAGCCGCTGTGATGCATGGCACCCACACTGGCTTCTGCAGATGGGGCTGGATGCAGAAGAAGGCTCCAGCAGGTCCTTAGGGACGTGGCCAGGCCTTGGCGCTAACTCTCTCCCCTTGTCCTCACGGTCCAGTTTTCCCAGGAATCCCTTAGATGCTAAGATGGGGATTCCTGGAAATACTGTTCTTGAGGTCACGGTCTAACAGCTGGATTCAAGTCCTTCCCAGCCCACAGCTGTCCCTGTGGGGCCTCGGCTCAAGCACGGGCTAAGGGTTGGGGAGAAGGCCACACACTGGAGGCAAGAGGGCTTGCACACTGTGTTCTTGACCTTTAAGTTGCCTTTTTTCCCATTTTGTCCATTTCATGACATCACCATGAGGCTAAATGTGGGAGCTTCTCCACTGCTGTACTTGAGAAATTTGTCCCAGCTCTCAGCTGAGCGGCAGTTGGACCAGGACACCATAAAGCATGTTTCTTCTGTGTCCACTCCACCTTTGCCCCACTTCCCAGCATGCTTTGTGTAGGGGCCACAATATCAGATCCACCACACACATAAATTTATTTTAACCATTTATTAAATCAGTTAGGTAAACTAAAAGTCTTAGTTCAATTTGGAATGCAGCTACAGAAAAGTGAAAACGTTTTCATCGAGGTAAAGAACACAAAAAAGCTCAGAGCACCCTCTTGTGGTGACACCTGCCTCTCCCCACTCCAGAAACACTGGCGCTGAGCCCCACCCATTAACTCATTAGCAATGATGCCTCCATCACTTGCCAAGGTACCTTCACTTCCCCAGCCTGGCTTTGTCCTCAAAGCTCCCTGAAGCTCAGTGTGGTAGGTGAAGCTCGGAGGGAGGCATGAAGGGACCAAGGTCTCCCAGATGGCAAAAGGCAGAGCCAGGATTGATTCCACGTTCAGTAGCCTATGGCAATTACTTAGCCAAAAGCAAAAACTACAAAAATAAAAAATAAAAAGAAGACTCACTCTGAATAAACATGGGGAATGCCAATGATGGGAAGCCAAAGAGCTGAAGTGGTCCAGGTGCCACACTGGAACTTTCCTCAAAATCTTCCCTAGTGCTTCTTATGTTGCTGGTAGAGACAACAGGTGCCATGGCCCTAGAATCCTCACTTTGGGTCTGATCCCCACATCCCCAGGCTATCTTCCGAACAGGCCACCGTAAAGACATTTATGAAGTATGAGATCTCCCTCTATCTCACAGAGAGACTGGAGCTGATCTGACTTGCTCATAATAATAATAATAATAATAATAGTTTCCACTCATTGACTATTTACAATTTGTCAGGCACTGTGCTAAACACTTTCACAGGCATTATCTCAACCCTCACAAGTCAGGCAGACTCCATTATGTATTACACTTCACAGTTAAGGAAACCAAGGCTCAGAGAGGTGAAGAGATATAGACTAAGGTCACACAGCTAATAAGTTGTGAAGCTGGGGTCAAATCAAGTCTGTTTATGCTTTTAACCTGCCCTTCCCCCTCCCTCCCATTGGCCTGGCCTGGCGGTCAGGTTGTCTCCATGTGACCTCCCCTGGGGGAGAGAGTAAAACCAGCCTTCAGTGAGACCCAGCTGGACCCTCCTGTGCTCTGTGACTGTAATAAAGTGCTGGACCCTTGACTTGTGTCCTGTTTCTTCCTTGGAACGTGGTGGGGGGAGGGAGGAAGAAAATGCAGGGAAAGAACCTGAGAGTCTATATTAGTACAAAGTACCTCAGACTGGGTGGCTTAAATATATAATTTTATTTTCTCATAGTTCTGGAGGCTGGAAGCCTAAGATCAAGGAGTCAGCAGGGTTGATGTGTTCTGAGGCCACCATCTTTGGCTCATAAAGGGCTGTCTTTTCCCTGTGTCTTCACTCTGTGGGAGTCGGTGTCCGAATTTCCTCTTCTTACAAGGATACCAACCTTACTGGATGCAGGCCCACCAAATGACCTCGTGGAGCCTTAATCACTGCTTTAAAGACCCTGTCTCAAAATGCCATCACATTCTAAGGTACTGGGGGTCAGGACTTCAGCATGAATTGGGGGGCACAGTTCAGTCAATAGCACAACCCCAGCTGAGATGACCCCCAAGCATCTCTACATTGCCCTCTGTCTCCAGAGGGGTGGTGAGGAGCCCCGGGAAGCTGCCGTGCTGGGTCCAGACCTCTCCACCGTGGAAAGGGAGGGAAGGGCGAGAGTCCCACAAGGGGAGATCCAGCGGTGTGAGGCACCGGCCAAGCCACAGAGCGGCCTCTCCCCTTCAGTCCCAAAGCTGTGACTGACCAGGTAGGGGTGGGAAGACACTGGTGTCAGGGTTCAGAGTGAGCTCAACTTCAGCTGTACCACGGGCTTCGTGGCCAGCACTTGGGGACATCTTAAACACAATTACCCCACCCATGGCATGATCCTCCGAGTTCCACCTTTTGAGCAAAAAAACTCAACAACCTGATAAACAACCTCTTACAAGACAGTTCCCAGAGGCACAAGGCCTCCCCATATCTCGTCTCGTCACCAGAAGCTGGCCTACACAGCCTACCCGGTGGCACAGCCCAGCAGGCCGGTGAGTGGCTGCTGCACAGCAGGCCTCCAGAGGGGAGGCTACTGACATCTCTTCTTTTGCTTAATCTGACCATTCCCCCAGTCAGAGCAGCCCCCATGAATCAGAACAAGCCCCCAGAGAAAAGACTGGGTTGGAAATAGAAGAAAGTTCAGGTGACTTCAGGGCACAACTCCCTGGCCAGCTTGGCCCCCAGGAGGAACAAGAGGTGACCAACATGAGGTGTGGGTCAGGAAAACAGGCGGAAAAATCTTGGTAGAGTTCCATTATAAATCATTACTATAGAAATTACAGCACGCATTGTTACGGTCAAGACCAATAGGGTGAATGCTGCTCATTCTGCTATGAATGGTTTCAGGGAACTACAGAAAAAACATGCCCCCACAGCGAGCTGAGTGAGAGTCCAGGTGAGCAAGTTTTAAGACACGTTCAGAAAACAGTGTGGCGCCTTGTAGAAATTTAACGTGAGATTAGAATCTAATGGTGTGAGAGCAACAGAAAAACCTTGAAGAGGAAAACATGGTGACCTTTCCTGGTTGGGAAAACAGGCGAACCCTCCGAGAAGTAGATTGTGCCATAAATCACCTGATGACACATGCCTTATGATGATTTTATGATGATGTCATGTAACCAATCCCCTATATATTGCTTGACGTTTCTATCAATGAACAGGCCAGCTTCGTGTCTCTGCTGGTGTCTGTGTCCTCGTGCGCCGACGCATTCCTCCTTTGGGGGTCCCTGGACCCGCTAGAGCCAGACTCTGTCTTCGTGCCTCGGAACAAGCTGAGAGGGAGGCCTACCTGGCTGCCCTTCATTGCAGAGGAGCCCAGGGTCCCTCAGGGCATGTGGCCATTTGGAAGCCACAGGGAGGGAGTGAAAGAGACAGGCCCCAGCTGTGTGCAGCACTCCACCCACCCTATGACACACCCCGCACCCTATTTTTTGTTCAGCTTTGAAAGAGAACCAGGCAGACACTGGGGCCTTCCTGCATCTCATAGTCCTCGTCCTTGCCGCAGTTCCTTCTAAAACTCCTCCCACACATGCCGGGGAACTTACTGCCAGCGTGATAGGGCATCCTGACTGCAACAGGTGGGCTCCGCACAGTGGTTTGCGATCCCCCCGGGATTGCGGGCTGGGCAAGAATAACAGCAAATATCCAACAAAAGGCATGCCCTCTCTATTCACACTGTGCAACTCCACCAGCTTTACTGAGTGCTTACATGTGCTTGTCCTGGGGCTACCGCGATTTCCAACATCCCTAAATGCCAAACCACGGGCCTCCATCCTGTGGGGAGAAGGATTGGCACTCCCAGGGACAATTCCATTAACAGATCTCAAGCACTCCGTCAGTGCTCTTCTGGCAGTGAGGGTCTGCACCTCCTTTTACAGAGCGGAAAACCTGGACCGGCTCCCTCCCGAAATGGCAAAGGGGCACACAGGCATGGGAGAGAGGGGGCCCTCTTGTGGCCACCCCTGGAAGGACGGGTTTCCTTGCTTAGAAGGACTCCGTCATTGGGTTATCGTTATCTAACATATTTGCATAGGATTTTGCATTTCAAAATACACTGTCCATCCCTTGACCTCATTTGATCCTGATATGAGATGCATGTTGTCATCATATTTCTACAGTGGCCCAGAGAGGTTAAGCAATACTTATGAAAATACTAATGCTAATGCTAATAGCACCTATGATATATTGAACCCTTACTCTGTGCCTGGCACTGTGAATTTGCTTTCTTCATATTATCTCATTTGTGAGATTCATGGTGGTCCTTATGGTGCAGATGGAGAAGAAGTTCAGAGTATTAAGATATGTCCAGGGCCCCATAACAGGTAAATAGCTATATCAGGAAGCCAACCCAGGATAATCTAGCACCAGCTCTCAGCTCTCAAGCCAACATCTCCCATACAAGCTTGGAGAGGAGTGTCCCATCTGGTCCTCCAGCTCCCAGAAGATCTCCCAGCTGCCTCAGGCTGGAAAGAAGGCCCTGGGAGACTGACCCTGTGATAAATCCCAGTATGTCATTGGCCTTAAAGGCAACAGCCCCTGTGGAGCCCCATCTCCTACATCCTGGGGTACCCTGAGGGGCCTGGCACCCCCGGCTCAGTAGACAGATTTTATTTCCTGCTTCAAAGAGAAAGCTGTCTCTCTCCGAGGGGGTAGCAGGAAGGGCACCCCAAGATTGCTGCAGGATGTGGTCTGATGATCTAGACAACAGAGGTGAAATGGAATGCTATGGTCTCCGAAAAAGGGCTTGACAGAAAGCTACCAAATCTGAGGGAGCCCAGGGGAGCCCAGAGGACAGTCTGGCCTGTAGGAAGTCCACCCTTCCAGCAAGCCTGCAGGCCTGGTTAGCAGGCCATGCAAGCCAAAGTCATTGCTGCAGAAGGGCAGTGGCCAGAGGAGGGGATCCAGGCCTGTCCCTGCATCTCGGACCCAGACAGCCACTCTTGGGGCCCAGGGAGCAGGCAAAGTGGAAACCAGCCCAGCACAGGGGCAGAGGGATGGGTCCAGACTTGCTCCTCTTATGTGGAATATGGGGATGGCAATCAAGTGGCCTCACTTCAGGGAAAGATGGTCGTGTCAGTTGCACTCCAACCTGTGGGAGGCTGGAAGGAACCATAGCTACCTTAGTTTAGAGACTGTCCCCTCTGACCCAATCCATCTATGACTGCTATGTCCCAGAACTGTGTTTCCTTGGTCCACTCATCCCAGAACAATTTCTGACAGAGAAGCATGCACCTTCTATTTGCATATGTTCAGCAAAAAGGACCTCACCACCTCACCAGTTAGCCCATGTCCTTGGTCAGCTTTGGTCATTAGGACACCCTCACCTTGTGGGAATAAAAGCCTGGCAATTTCCCCAGTCTCCTTCACCTGCTGCAGAGATATACAGACAATGACCTGGGCTTCCCTGGGCCTCTCTCCTCCAGGCAAAACATGCCCAGTGCCCCCGAGGGCCTCCAAGTCTGAATTCAATTTTGTGTCTCTTCCTGCCAGTCAAGCCCTGTTTTTTTTTTCCCCATTTTTTTTTGAGAGGGCATCTCTCATATTTATTGATCAAATGGTTGTTAACAACAATAAAATTCTGTATAGGGGATGTAAAGCACAATCATTAATCAACCCCAAGCCTAATTCTCAACAGTCTCCAATCTTCTGAAGCATAATGAACAAGTTCTTACATAGTGAACAGTACAAGGGCAGTCATATCACAGAAACTTTCGGTTTTAATCACGCATCATGAACTATAAACAATCAGGTCAAATATGATTATTCGTTTGATTTTTATACTTGATTTATATATGAATCCCATATTTCTCCCTTATTATTATTATTATTTTTAATAAAATCAAGCCCTGTTTTTAAGACCCATTCACATCCTGGCATCAGGACTACTTTGAGAATCTAATAAAAGCTGTTAGCCATCTCTGTTGAAGATAATGCATGTCTGCACAAGATGTTACAGACCACTTTAGAGAGTCCGTGGCCTCTAAGAATTCTTTGTGTGGTGTATGTCACAGTTTCTAGAAAATGATCAGCCTTCGGGTTTAACTTACATATTTGACAAATGTTTAGGGAAGACCTACTGCATGCCCAGAATTGAGGGGTGAACAAACAAAATCCCAGCTCAAAGAATTGGCAATCTAGAGCAGGAGACAGACACAAATAAGGAAACCAACACATTATCAAGACCATCTCATATTGTGACAAATTCAAGGAAGAAAATTAAACCAAGTGGCACAGTAAGAAGTGGCAGGATTAGGAGTGTTATTTTAAATTGAGAGGTCAGGGAGGGCTTGGGGATGACATTTGAATAGACATCTGATGACTGGAAGATGGGGGTACTGAAGGGTTCAAGGGTCAGACGGGAGCAAGGATGGGTGTCCAAACCCTAAAGCAGCAGGGGCATGAGATCTTTTGCCAGAAGACCAGAGGGACTTGCAGCCAGGGGGGAATGAGAGCAGGTTGAGGAGCCAGGCCGAGAGAGGCCCTGTGGGCTGCTGCCATGAGGGACACACTCAGACCCTGAAAAGGTCTCTCCTAAACAGGGCAGGGGAATCAAAACATATTCCCCTT